CTTATATTTAAAGTAAGACAGTGGAAAAGAGGAAGCTTGGATTAGGAACACAGGCTCCTGACTTTGAAACTTGTCTCAAACTAGGGGCGCCTGGGTGGCTCAGTCGTTAAGCGTCTGCCTTCGGCTCAGGTCATGATCCCAGGGTCCTGGGATCGAGCCCCACATCGGGTTCCCTCCTCAGCGGGAAGCCTGCTTTTCCCTCTCCCACTCCCTCTGCTTGTGTTCCCTCTCTCGCTGTGTCTCTCTGTCAAATAAATAAAATCTTTAAAAAAAAAAAAAAAAGAAAGAAACTTGTCTCAAACTTATAATAGCTCCTGTACTTACATTGGTGACTCCTGCATAGTGACTTTGATAATTCCCTCCTGCTGGCCGGGTAGGGAAGGGGGCTGTCAGGATGGAGCTTGCACTTTCTCGGCCATTGCTTATGTCTTGCTGGGCAGGAAAAGGTGGTGTTGGGTAACTTACTTTACCTCTCTGAGGAAACCGAGTATGTCATGAAAGCTTAAATGTTACTGCACTTTCATTGTGTACATTCTCCAGTAATGATTTTTCAACCTATCTTTGCATGAGGATTAAACTGGATGATATAAATCATTCAGCATCTAGTACAAGTGGTGTCTAAATGGGGGATGTCTCAATCAGATGGGGACCCCCAAAGGTAGGGCGACGATCGGGTGGAAGCCGGTGGCGGTGCAGGCGGTAAAAGGATGGATTCACCGGGAACAGAACAAAGGAGGTAGAAGTTGATTGAATCCACCACAAGGGAGCAGGGGGTGGGGGGGGTGGGGGCAGGATAGCAGAGGAGAGGCTGCAGGGAGGCAGTGGGAGGAGGCTGTTTTTAAAGGGGGAAGGTGAGGAGGTATGGCGATGTAAGGCGTTGCCCATTCTTTGGTAGCTGTGCCTGGTTCTAAGTAGCCCATTGGCCAGTTAGGGCTATGCATATTTTGAGGTGGGTCTCCCATGGGCCTTTTCTACATTCCATTGCTCAAGGCTGTTTGCCCGAAAACGGGGTCCGCAGTCCACACTCAAATGATTCCAAGTTTTGAGCTGCTATTATTATTTTAGAAGAGTGGTCGCTTGAGCTTACGTGTTCCTTGGACAGTCGGTGGCTGAGCGTCTGTTTTGTCCTTTGGGAAGAGGAGAGCAAAGCAGCTTGCTCCTTCTCTCTTCCCCTCTTCCGTAACCTGGAACCGTAACATCAGCCACCCACCACACAGTGCAGGAAAGGAATTGAGAGCCCTCTAGCACGACTGTAGTTAAGACCTTGCATCAGAGAGTAAGGGTCTCTTCTATTTGGGCTGTAAAATGACAGTTACTGGCTGAACTTCACATCTCTGTCTCCACATACTCTTCTCTCTCTAAATACTACCTTCCGCCTGGCTTTTGACGGCCCAATCCTGGTGGCCCCGTGCTCAGTTCCCTACCTTGAGCCTCCAAAACTGTTTTTGGATGACTGAGTCCTCCAAGAGAGCCCAGGTTAGCATTGGATGCCAAACTTTGCTTTCCCAGGAGGTGGGAAGGAGCCAGCCTCACAGCTGTATGAAGATTCTGTGATTGTGGGTAGTCGGGATGGGACCGAGAGGAAGCCTTAAGTCAACACCTTCCCCCCACCAGCTGTGGGCTGTCCTGCCCTAATTAACTTCTCCGGGACATGCAATCTGGTCATCGTTTTCACCTGTAATACTTTTTCCACTGGCTCTTCTTCCCCCTCAGCATATTTTTTTTAATTAATTAATTAATTTATTTGACAGAGAGAGACACAGTGAGAAAGGGAACACAAGCAGGGGGAGTGGGAGAGGGAGAAACAGGCTTCCTGCCGAGCAGGGAGCCCGATGTGGGGCTCGATCCCAGGACCCTGAGATCATGACCTGAGCCACCCAGGCGCCCCATGTATTTTTTTTTTTAAGCAAGGAGTTGGTTTTGCATCTTGTTAAAAATAAGAGAAAGCTTTGACAATAAAAATGTTTCTCTTCACAAAGCTGTGAGAGTTCTATTCATTCTGGGATTACTTAATTCTCATGACCTTTAACAAGACAGCACTTTTGCACAGTTAGATGAGATAATTGATTCTAATGGGGAAAGAAGCACTGCTCATTTAACTGCATGTTTCCGAGTTGTCCTCAGTTCAAACAATTTCTCCATTACCTTTGGAATTGCCAATCTGTAGATTAAAGCAGTAAGAAGGTAAGCAGAAATGTGAGCTAATTCAGCTTTGGAAAGAGCAGAGTTTTCACTTCTTTCAGACAAGTGAACTTGTATTATTATTGACAACTACACAGAGATAGCCAAGAGCAGGGTAAAACACCTCATTTAGTGCTCAGGACCTAACGTGTGCTCAAAAAATGTTGGCTGCTTTCTTATCATTATTATCAACAGTCTGAATGGTGAGAAAAGACAGTAGTCGCACATATGTACAGTTTACAAAGCGCTTTGCCATATGTGATCTCCTATGACACAGTAATTCTTTGAAAGAATTTTCTCCCCACTTTGTGGATGCAGCTAGGATCCCAAACCAGTTTCCTTCCCTCTGGTCCAGCACACTTTACCCTGTCCAGCAGCAACCGAAGAGAAAGCAAGGGGTCAGATTCCATTTCTGCCACAGAGCACCCCCACCTGATGGAGTCAAACTTGTATACGTTCCCTGGGTGGTGGCTCCTGTGTGGACTACAAGTCCGAGGGATGTGCTGTTCTGGTCTCCTTGACACAGTGATTTGTGTCTTGAAGGCAGCCACACAGCCCCTCATTCCCCCATCAGTGACCCCTTCCACAAACGGACCAAGCAACACAACTCTCGGTCCTCCTCACAGGATCCTCGGCAACAAGCCTTGGAGGCTGCTCTGTGTGTGAAAGGGGGTGTCTTTATCATGCCCACCTGCCTTGCTCGGTAAAGCTCCTTGGGGGAGCCTGGGCTTCAGGCCAGAAAGACTGCTGGTGTCTGATTTCAGGGTTTGAATAGTTGTGGGTTCTAGTCCAGACTGTGCCACGTATCAGCCATTTAACCTTCCGTATGTTCATCGATGGCATCGTGTCTTGGTTTCTTCATCTGTAGAATAGGGTTATTAATACTCACCTTTCAGGATTTTTGTGAGAATCAAAGGAAATACTGTGTTTACTGCTCTTAGCACAATGCCTGGCATGCGATAGGCACTCAGTGAAGCATAGTTTTATAAGTATCTTAATTAACCTTCTGAGTCTTAACATGCACATCTGCACATTGGGTCTGGCAGGGCTGCCTTAAGGATTAGATGTCAAAAAATACAAATTTCCCAGTGCACTTCCTGGCATGCAGTTGGTCCTCAGTAAACCTAATGACTATGAGTTTCATATCTCTGTACATCCTTCCCTGGGTTCCTCTGGCGTCTTAGCCAGAGGCTGGTTGGTCACAGCCTCCTCTGGGCCTTCTAGTCCTTCTGAGTAGATTCGGTTCCTTGTCCGTCTTCCCTACTTGACTGTGAGCTTGTGAAAGCAAGGACTGTCTGATTATGTCCTGGCTCTCCAGAGTCAGCCATAGGTCCTGGTATAGAGTGGGCTTCTAGAAAATGTTCATCAGTACAACAAAGGAGTGATGTTGCGTACAGGATACTGGGGGAATCAGAGACTGAAGTGCTTAACTCTGTATGTGAGGAATCAGGGCAGGCCTCCCCAAAGAGGTAAATAGGGACCATTGACAAGTCTTGAATCCTAAGATAGGATTTAAGCAGACATTTTGTACTAGATCACAAAGCTTTTTAGAAACAAGCTTCCTAGCCTTTTCAAGCATTGTGTATGTTAAGGGACAAGTCCATTCTTTGGCGTCTTATGGTCTCTTTGCTACCTTAGCAACCTCAGTTGCTACCTTGGAAAAATGTTTTTAAAACAAATGCATGTACATGCTACAAAATAAAAAAGTACAACAGATATACAGTGAAAAGCAGATCTCTCTCCTATCCCTGATCCTTAGCATCTCTTTCTATCATAAGCCGCACCTGCTGTAACCAATGTCTTTCATATCCTTCAGAAACATTCTATACATATACAGGATTTTTTTTAACCCAAATATAGTATTTCAGATACACTGTTCTGCATTCAGATACACTATTCAGAAAAATACAAAGAGCTTGCACGTACTTTTTTATGGTTGCATAGTATATTGTGTGAAGGTTAACTTCTCTAGCCCCTTATTGATGGACTCCAATATTTTGCTACTACAAACAGTGCTGCAGTGAATAACCTTTTATGTACATCATTTAGTATGTACGTGAGTATATCTGGAGGAGAAATTTCTAGAATTTCCTAGAAATCCTGGGAACCTTTAAGTCCCAGGGTAGAGGGTATGTTTATTATAAATTCCATAGCTTTTTTTCAAATTATCCTTCAGTGGGTTTGTACCAACTTATGCTCACGTCAACAAAGAATGAGAGTGCTTTTTTCCTATTCTCTGTCAATGCTGTATAATTTTAACCTTTTTTTATCTTTGCCAAAGCATATGTGAAAAATAGTATTTCAAAGTTTAACTTACATTTCTCCTATTATGCGTGATATCAAGAGTCTTCATATGATTGAGAGCCGATTGTATTTCTTATTCTGTTAAGTCTCTGTTCAGAGTTCATATAATATACCTACTAAGCTGTTGGATTTTGCTTATTATTTGTAGGAGTTATTTTTATATTAATGAAATTAACCCATTGTGATACAAGTTGCAAACTGTCCCCCTAGATTGTTTATCTTTTGAAGCAAAAGTCCAAGACTTCCTGAACCACGCCCCCCCAATCCCTGCCCCTCTCCCAGTCCCTCCAGACTGTGAGCCCTCAAGGGCACAGTCTGTGCCCTGAGCATCTCCACGCCCCAGTCCCCTGTGTAGGGCTTGGCGCTGCAAGAGCCCTCTTCAGGGGCTATTTGTTGAACAGAGATGAACTGAATTCCTGTGTCCGCCCCCCGCCCCACCTGCCCTCCCCTGTGGCTTGGGAGTTCCATTTCCACCGCCAGCAGAAAAAGATGACTTTTCTCATTGCTCACCACAGCCATGCACCTGTTTGGCCTAAACTGGCACCTGCAGCCGATGGAGGGGCAGATGTATGAGATCACGGAGGACACAGCCAGCAGTTGGCCTGTGCCAACGGACGTCTCCCTGTATCCATCAGGGGGCACTGGGTTAGAGATCCCTGACAGGAAAGGCAAAGGAGCCACAGAAGGTAGGGTTGCTGTGTTGTCCGTGTCGTGAGTCTCTGTGTCTGCCTCTGAACCGAAGAGATCTTCATTATGCGCGTCATGTGCCTGACTCACAGCTCCATGCTCCAGCACTTCTCCATCTCTCTGCACTCCACGCCAGCTGCCCATCCACCTGTGTCTTCATCTCAGTTTCTTGTCACTGTGAGCTCGTAGCAGGGCTTGGGCAGCACTCCTGGTGCTCAGCGGCATCCCATCTCATGCCTTGAGGGAAGCATTATGGGCTTTCACACTGCTGGGGTGGCTGGCTTTGACTGTGTGGAATCCAGACGAGCCCTTCTGGAGCAACCTCATGGGCGTGAACGGGCATCTCCAGGAGGGGGTGTGGTGAAGTGGGTAGATGGTGTACTGTAATTGAAATACCCTCGGACCCTTGTGGTGTAACGGAAACACCAGTTGAGGTATTCTAGCATTTACCAACCATGTGACCTTAAGCAAGTCACTTAATTTTCCTGACCACCAGTTTCCTTATCTGCAATAACAATAATCATTAGTGTTTGTACAGTTTGTTTGGTTCAAAGCTTTTTGTCAAGAGCATTTCACATTTAATCCTCACAGAGATCCTGTGAGGTAAGTATGAGAATTTATACCCATTTTAGATGCAAAAACTCAGAGTTACATTACTTGACTTGACCAGAGCTGCATAGCCAGGAAATAATGGAGCCCAGCTGTGGATGACTCCAGAGCTCTTGCTATCTCCAAAAGTGGTCCTACCTGACTCACCCAATGGTTACAAGACTGAAGGAGATACAGATGAAAAATCCCATTGTACAACAAGACACAAATATTTCTCCATCAATGATGGAAGTGGTGGTGACATTTGGAGTTTGGCATTCTTAAGTGGGACATTGGTAGACCCATGTTTTGAATTTCTTAAAGGTCTAACATGCCATTTACACAAATTCTTTCACTATCAGCCAAGAGTGGCAGAGACTTACAAAAATGGTAATAGGAAAGATGCCTGAGCTAATGAGCCAGTCTCATGGTCATTCTGGGCAGGTGTGGACCTCCCTGTCCTGTACCTGCTGTGCCCTGCTTTATCTCTCTGGTGTTAATCTGTCAGCAAAGTGGTCATATCTGCTTCCAACCTTGACTGCTTATATCTTCTTTCCTCTCATCTCAGTTAACTTTGGGGTCTTAGCTTCTGAGCTTCCCTGTCCTTTTAAGGATTTGCCTTCCAGGAATCAGTTTGGTTAACAGGGTACCATATGCTTGGTTGAAGTAGCTACTCAGAATCTCCAAATGATCCTGAAGGCCGAAATCAACTCTTTCTTTTTTTGTTTTCTAATATGGAACGCTTCATGAATTTGCATGTCATCCTTGCACAGGGGCTATGCTAATATTCTCTGTATTATTCCAACAAAACCAATTCTTGACTTATGGTCCTTAAGGAAAGTAAGAATGGGAGCATTTCCATGGAGCCAAACCAGAACTTCTGCCTACTTTTCCTAGGGGCAATTCCAGTCTTCTCCTTTACAAATATTTTAAGACTTGAAACAATGAATAACTTACACTTTCTTTGCCCTTTAATAGAACATGGAAGGAGCATGGATGGGGCCACGGGAAGAGCTCTGGGTTAGGAGTCAAGAGCCCTGAGTTCAAGCCAGCTGCTGCCACTTGAGTTGGCCTTCAGCAAATCCCTTGAAAGACTTTCTGAGCTTCATTTTCCTTCTCACTAAAAGGAGGCTATTGAGCTAAATTATCTCCAGGGTCTGTTCTAATTCACAAGTCCTACATATGAAATTGGTAATAGAATCATCAGACTAACCAGATGGTCTCCAGAATCTTTTTCCAGGTCAGCCCTGTCCATGGTCCTGCCTGTGGGCTTGTGATTCCCTTGTCAGTTTATAGTGTCAGATGCCATACATGAATATTATAAATGTGGACAGTCTTTAGATCAGCATGTACAAAGGCAGATTTAAGATATGTTTAACCCTGAAGGCATTGGAAAAAGGTCTCATTTAGCAAAATGTATTTTCTTTCCTCCGTGATCTCTATCAAACATTCTCTAAACAGGAGTTGGATCTATCTGAAATCTCCCATTCTAATGAAATTAGTTTGTGGCTTTTTTAGGTTTTGTTTTGTTTTACCCAAGGAGCAGGAGGTGCAGATAAGAGACAAAATAAAATTGCACCAGCTTATTGGTTTACTTTAATTGGAGTATTTTTGCTTAAAGGGATTATCTGTCATTACTAATGCAAATGGAAATCCTGCGTACAAACCCCTAAAATGCAGTGCAGTGCTGGAAAGTGGTCAGCATCAAAAGCAATTACTATGACAAAAAATACATCAGTCTGAAAAAACAGAGGACAAAGCTTCCTACAGTTTATGTGAGACCACATGGTTCTTAATTTCTTTTGCCCTGGTCAAACCAATGTCTACACAGTTTATGTTTTTAATTGTAATGTTAAAAATCTACTTCCTTAGACATATCTCGAGGGCAAAAGTCTTTAACACTGATGTGAGTACATATTTCCTGTCCCTTCTGCGGGTATCAGAGAGGAGAGCTGATTCCAGAATTAAGATTAGAGCCCTGGTTTACAGAGATGGGAGAAGCAATGTGACATGATGGAAAGAAGATAAATGGGCCTTGGAGCCAGATCGTCGAGGGTTTGAATACCCTGTTAACTCATGCCGATCACTCCATCTTCTTTGGCCTTTGTTTCTTCATCTGTAAGAACCAGAATGGTAACACCTCAACAAGTGGACTTCTTTCTTCTCATCCACTCAAATCCCGAGCCATTCCATGTCAGTTATTAGAATTTCAGAAATCCAGACTAAGTAATATTTTCCCCTCAAAGACCCTGCAAATAATTGGGGCATTTTTGAATATTTTAAAAGGATATATATTCTTTAATTATACAAATGAAATTTATGATGAGCCCAGTATTTTAAATGTTCATCCTGTCGAGAGTCACATCAAACTGCAATTTACACTATATTTTCAAAGTGGCTGTTACCATTTCAGGGTGTCATAGGACGGAAACCAAATACGGCAGCTTTTTGAAGTAAAGAACTTATGTTATGAATTAATGGAAAAGAGGGGGAAAAGCATTGAATAAACAAGCATTTCTGATGGTTGAATTGGTGGGCTTAGGGATAGCATTTTCTTCTTTCTGCAGTGAAATCAAAATTGCCCATCAGTTTAAACCATGTAAATTGCTGCACGCCGGCTCAGCTGGGCTCTCCAAAATGGAACAGCTTATTTTGATAACCAAATAAATTTCCAACAGTTGCTAAGGAAACTGAAGGATTCTTTGTGCAAGTTATTGCATTGAAAAGAACCAGAAAGGTGGAGGGAGGGGGAGAACGTTAGTTGATTAGGAATTTAAAACCTGTGTAGATGGATCTCAGTTCAGGAAAGTGAGGACTATGACTGGGAAGTGCATGGAATTTCAGTTCTTCCAAGTCTTCCTGGTTTGACCGAGCCATCCAATCATTTCAAGTAGTTTGTTGAGAAATGTCTTTTATAGACGGGATTGCATATTTGAATGGCCATTGCTACAGGAAAGCTGAATCTGTATATCTTTACAAAGAACAGGACTGTTACCAGTAAAACTTGCCTTATGAAACCTGATCATGCTCTTGGGGGTTCCTCATTCTTAGTTAAGCTCGTGGTATTCTTTGTTATGTCTCTGGGGGGCCCCCACTAATTGTGTAGTATCCTTTTTAAAAATGACTTGAGACACCAACTCTTGCCCTTTAACTCTGGGTCCTGTTTATGGGTTCCTACTTCATAAAAATTGTCAACTTTTTGTGCCCCATGGTGCTCAGTGGGCCTTGGATCTACCTGGCCTATCCTTGATGGTTAGCCTGCTGGGACTGTGAGTTAAGTTGGATTCTTGGTCTTAAAGAGGGTCAGTGCACTCTACCACCATTGAGAGTATCTTTGAAGAGTTTTAATTAACCATTTATCAATTTAATGCCTTAAGAAGCCATAATAAATGAAGAGAAACCCCAAATGGCTTTATCTCTGAATGGTTTCTTAAGTATTCTGAGCCTCAGTACATACATCTTATTAGTGTGAGAATTAACCAGTGTACATAAAGGGGCCCAGCATATGGTCAGAGCAGTAAATGACAGCTACTACTACTTCTACCTTTATTACTATTACTACTACTGCTCTTATTGCTGTTGTTCTTGTCATCATTATTATTTTCCAGAATGTGGGTAGGGATAAAAAGAATTTTATACACAGGACTTTTCTCCCCTAACTCCCTCCTCCCTCTACCATCTCTCATTCCTCTACCACTGGTGGGCCTTGCGGTGTAGTGGGATAGTTTCTATTCTAGTGCTCACCGCTTGGTGCTCAGAATTAAGAACAAAGAGTCTTAGGTTGTAGGATCTGGAAAGAGGAAGGCAGGAAGGGGTGGGTGTGGCTTCACTCTGATTAACTGCTAGACCAGTCAATCTCATGTCTCTTTCCCACCAGGCAGAGGTGCTCTGTGGGCTGTAGTTCTTTCCCCTCCAAAGCCCCCATCTCATCCCTGTGTGTAGTCCAGTGTGGGGACCACTGGGGACCAGAGTAGAGGAATGATAAAGGTTAAATCCCTAGATGGGGATCCTCTTTTCCCTCCAAAACATCGCCTTTAGGCTGGGCTGTGGTCCCTTCGGGTGACCTGGCACGAAGGTCACTTTTGAACTGAAGCCCAAGTGGCCCTCACAGACTCAGCCAAGAGAGTCAAGGTCCTGGTGAGGGCTGTGCCCTAGAACAGAATTTACTATTTTTATTTGATTGTGTGTACATACCAACAATAATTATTTTCTACCATTTGGGCCCACGTTGGTGAAATACTAGAATGCTAGAAAAGAATATTCCCTTTCTACCACTCCCTGGGGTAAAAGCCAACTTATTTGTGCCTCTGGGGCCGGCAGACCTATGGAGAGAGTCTCTGGGCTGGCCTCTGACCTGTGAGGCTCAGAACTTAGCTGAGGGAATAGCTGTCTCTTAAAAACATGCTCACTAGAGGGGAAAATGAATCAGGCAGCGTGCTCCCGACAGCATGCCAAACTGTGGGGGAAGCATTCATTATTTATTCTCAGACATAGGAATTATTTGAATGCAGACAATTCTGAAATCCCATCAGCTCTGACTCCCACCTACTCACAAAGGAAATGAGTCCTTGGAATTAGCAGTCTCGGGCTTATTTCTATGCAGTTTCTAGGAGGAAACTCATAGTTCTGCATCCTTAGCAGAATTAGAAGCTAAAGGGCATGCTCTTTTCTACCTAGAATACAAAAGAATTGTGGTATCGGGAGCCCCAAAATCAGATAAGAATGTGAAAATAATTCTCTTCCATCCTAATGCTTTGTGAATTTGGCTTCTGTCTTTGAACTTTGAACCACAGTGTGGTGGTTTGTGTGTGTCTACATTTTCAAGGTAAAAGTCTGGGGTACATTCCTTCCATAAAGGAATCAAATGCAAGCTCTTTCCTATGCTAATGACAATACTAGTGGTGCTTTTATTGAGAGCATGCATTTTAACTTTTTTTGTTGGCATATTTTTAATTAAAATAACATTTAATAGTTTGAAGCTAAAAACCTGATGTTTCTACCTAGGAGTTCATAAAGGAATGATAACATATGGAGAAGTTTAACATTTAAATTGAATTTTATTATTTAAAACAGTAAAATATTTTATGACTACAACAATGCCCTGCCAAGCTCCATTTCAGCATCAAATGTGCTTTGTAAGGAATCTTACAAAGCTAGGGGGAAAAAGACATTTTAATTTCTTATTCCCCAAATGCTTTTTATAAAAAAGTTCCCACAAACGTGTTTTCTTTACAAATGGATTCTTGTTCTCTAAAGTGTCTCTTCGAACATCTCTAACAAAACACCAAATCTTGGAACTAGGATACCCAGGGGGTGATTCCTTATGACAAATAGGATGTCGTCTGCTGGCTTGAGTTTGGCTTGTCGATGTCCTAAGGGTGTAGGTCTTCTAACATCCCTGTCACCTCCTTCTGTCCCCTCCCAACTCCTCAGAAGGCTGATGTCTGGCAGGAAGTGGGGTTTATAGTTTTCACATGTGAGTGTGCTTAATTACTAAATAGAGGAAGTTTGATAAGCCGCCTTCCTTCCTGGTACTTCGGGTGCCCCCAAAAAGCTGTCACTCTCCTGACTGGTGACAGAAATGGGCAAGGGGCCATATTTCTGACTCTGTTCCCCGCAACCTGCAGGGTCAGGAACCCGGGTTGAATTTCCAAGTATGTCATAGGCTTTGTGCCTGAACTTGAGAAATTCCCAAAACTTTACAACCGGCCCCCCCATTTCAGCACAAAAACGATATTCAAAGACCTCCATCCAAGACTCAGAAGCATTTTTTAGAAGTATTCCCTCCGGGGCACCTGGGTGGCTCAGTTGGTTAAGCGACTGCCTTCGGCTCAGGTCATGATCCTGGAGTCCCGGGATCGAGTCCTGCATCGGGCTCCCTGCTCGGCGGGGAGTCTGCTTCTCCCTCTGACCCTCCCCCATCTCATGCTCTCTCTCTCATTCTCTCTCTCTCAAATAAATAAATAAAATCTTTAAAAAAAAAAAAAAAGAAGTATTCCCTCCCTTCAGAAGTACCCCCTCTTTCACCTTCCCCAACCCTACTCCTGCTCCCAACATAAATCCCCATCTATATGTCTTAGCCTCAGAATTTGGTTTCCAATTATACATAAACATGTAAATTTGTAGAATATGCTTCCCAAATGTAGGTGATGTAGATCATGCTTCCCAAAGCTAGGGGAACCGTTCTGAGTTGGAAATTTAATAACAACACCTTGTTCCACTACCCTTCCTATTTTAGTAAATGCTTTTACACACACACACACACACACACACAAGTTATTCTCCTGTGACCGCAAATGATCATTTTGGGGATCAAAATATATCTTAACAAGCTGTGGAATTGTGCAGTATACAGATGGCCCTTGGGGAGGACCCATACTGCTTTGGAAGAATGCATATTTTTAGCAGAACAATTTGAGCATTACTGGGGAAAAAAAAGTTCTGGATGTTCTTACTCCTTGGGGAGTGGGGGTGGGGGCTGGCAGTGGAACATCGTAGAGAGAAGCACAGGAGACACAGGATCGTGCTGCAGTTCAGGGGCTCTGACCCCACGTGTCACTTGTGGCTAACTGTGCTGTCTTTGTCTTCCCTTCCCTGTGTCTTGGTAGGAAAGCCCAGTAGTTTCTTTCCAGAGGACAGTTTTATAGACTCTGGAGAAATCGACGTGGGGAGACGGGCTTCCCAGAAGATTCCTCCTGGCACTTTCTGGAGATCTCAGGTGTTCATAGACCATCCTGTGCATCTGAAATTCAATGTGTCTCTGGGAAGGGCAGCTCTGGTTGGCATTTATGGCAGAAAAGGCCTTCCTCCTTCACATACACAGGTAATCAGAACGCCACATCCCCTGCTGACCTCCGGGGGCTCCTACCTCACACCTTAACCTCAAGTCAGGAAGCCTAATGTTATACCCGGAGCTTGTGCTTGAGGGGCATTTCATGTATTTGATAGCCCATTCCTCCATTTGCCCTCTCTTAAGACCCTACCTTTCCAATGAGTAGGGTTCTATCCCTGGAGTTTTTTAAGAAGAGGGAATTTTAGGAAATATTCCAATAGTCTTTCTACTGTTACCCAATCACCTATGTTAAATGATCCAAGAAATGTAACCTAAGGAGAAAAGCAGGCACTTTAGAGTCAGAAAGACTTGAGTTTGAATCCTCTCATTATCAGCTATGAAGCCTCCAGCCTGGTACTCATCCACTCAGCAAGTTTCTAATCCCTCCAGTGGCGACACCAATATCCACTTTACAGGGCTGTTGTGAAGGATCTAGAAGAACATTTATAAGGCAGATAGTGTAGGATCTGTCTCAGAGTACATGCTACTTCCCTAGTCTCTTACATCCCTCTGTCCTTTGGGGGTTCATGGTTACTCTGACACACGCGCACCAGAAACACCTGACAACTCATCCAGGATGACTGACCTGTTACCAGTTGTGATGGCTAAAGAACAGACTTGGTAAGGTAAGGTCCTCCCAGTTCTGGGATTGGAGTAACATAGGTCAGAGGCACCCATCAGACATTCCCAGGCCATGTGCAGCCTTCGTAGCCCCAATCGTTATGGAAGATTTCTAGGTGAAAGCTACATAGATGTATTTGCTGATGGTAGAATCACAGGAAAACAGAGCCCTGGCCCCTTATTCCTTTGTAGAACAGCAATCCTAGTCCTGGACTTCATTTATATGTGAAATAGAATAGATACCTTGGTTTTTTAGAAGAAAGGTAGGTGGATAGATGGATAGATAGCTAGGAGACAGATAATTGCTCAGTTTGCTTGCTGGTAGACCAGTAGGACTTAACCACCTACCTGTTGTTAACACCACATGACTGGCTTCTCTTGAGTCTCACACTACCAGGCTCAGGTCAGTCAGCAGTGTATCTGACCCAGCATGTAATTATTGATAGAATTTTGAACTAATCCAGTTTAGTTCCCCTAAAACTGCTCCCTGAAACTGGAGCATTTAGAAAGGATCGTTGATAACAGGAAGATAGATAGGAATCAAATTTTCATTTGTACTTGACTGACATTTAAGGCACATCCAGTGCTGCAGTCCCAGTCCTTGAGCCCTGGAATTCCCACCATCCCTTGCACAGAGTTGGGGTGAAGTCATTAAATGGCCGGGTTTCTGATCACGACATGCCCACCATTGGAAAAGCATGTTCGTCTTGGTACAGACTCAGCCAGATGAAGACTGCCCACATAGACACCAAATTAAAGAAAAATGAGACTAAAGAATAATTCGCCATTCATGCTGCACTCACAAGGGAATCTGGAGACTATTACCATGTAAAACAGGGGTCTGGGGAGGAGTCAAAGTTGGTTGATCAACCTTCATGTGGCTTTAGCCTTTGTGCCTGTTCTCAGGTTGGGTTTCTCGTGTGTTCCCCAGGAGAAGTATGAAGAAGGAATCTGGCATTGTGGTGAAGCAGACGCACTGCTAATTACGCCCTCTTTGTACTTTAGTTTGACTTTGTAGAGCTGCTGGATGGAAGAAGGCTCCTGACCCAGGAGGCAAGGAGCCTGGAAGGACCCCAACGCCAATCTCGGGGAGTCGTCCCCCCATCTAGTCATGAGACCGGCTTCATCCAGTATTTGGATTCAGGAATCTGGCACCTGGCTTTTTACAATGACGGGAAGGAGTCTGAAGTGGTTTCTTTTCTCACCACTGCCATTGGTAAGGAGCCTCCAGCCCCCTGGGGCCTGTGGGATCTTGTCTCTTTGGGTGGAAGGACGTGGGGGATTCTGAGGATTGGAGCTAACAAGGGAATATGTCTTGCCCACAGCTGTCAATGCCACCTGGAGTCTGGCATGAGTCCATCCTGACTGGCTTGCTGGACAGGGATGGGAGTGGGAATCAGGGAAATGAGGGAAGGGAGGAATGACAGGAGGGGCCGGCAGGCCATTCTGGGCTGTTGCCCACTGCCTTTCTGGTGTTAACTGTGGACCAGCTGCTACACTGAAACCAAGGGGTAGAATTGACAACAAGACGGGAACCCTGTCTGACCAGCCACATGGAGGCAACATCTCTTCTTGTCACTTCTCTCCCACACCTGTATTTGTCTTTATAGCTTCCTTGGCTCAACTCATTGATTTGTGATTTGGATTTTTGTTTTTGAGTGTGTGTGGCTTTTTGTTTGTTTGTTTTGCCTTTGGAGCTAACAGTCCCTGGCAGTTGAGAAAAGAAGATGAAGGCTCAGAGAGAGAATGAGAATGGCAGAGCGAAGGCCCAGATGAACAATGTGATCAGTCAAACTGGGATTCTGTTGAGAACAGAGACATCTTGGTCTCTGACAGAGAGCGAGCTCTGATGTTTGAAATCAGGCTTAACACCTTCTCTGTCCCTCGTCATGGAAGAGGGCCACAGCTCTCTGTTCAGAGTGAGCCCCTGGGCTACCCCACAAGCCTACTGGTGTCTGGGGAGCCTGGAATTTCTCTTCTTTACCTGCACACCCCATAGAATTCGTCTCCTCCTTAGATAGCCATAGGACACAGTGGTCTCAGTGGTTCAGGTCAGAGAACATTTATTCTGAGTTTATACTGGAAGCATTATGACATAGCCTGAAGACAAAATCCCCTGCAGGAAAATAAAACTTACAGAAAATAAAACTCCACCAGCCAGAATGCTTGGAAACAGGGTTTCTGCTTAATGAAAAGCTTTATGTGGTATAGGGTTCACCTCAAAACCCTGTCTCAGTCCTTGGCTGGGAGTCTCTGTGACATGGAGAACGGGAATTGAATAAAAACTGTGAATCTGGTCCTTGGTCCCTAAAACTCCCACAAAACCCTGGCTTCTCCTTCTAAACAGCAGTCATCGTGTTCAGACCCTTCTCCTCTCATTGGCAATTTTGCCATTAGTGTCGAGGCAGAGACTACCTATCCCATTAAATGTGGGCATGGTTTGTACCCTTCTGCTGTCCCTGCAGGCTCCGTGGTCTCCCCTCCTGGCAAAATGAGGGCAGTGGAGGCCATCCGGCTACATCAGCTCCCAGGGAGGAGATGGCACTTTGTGCATCTGTGATTTGGAAGTGTCTGCCCTAGCTGCTGGTCTCTGAGGGCCTAGAGGGCGAGGACTTCAACATAATCTTCTCTGCCCGCCGACACCCAGCCCGGGCCCCGACAGGTGATTCAGCGGATAAGGCCGTGAGCTGGAGCATGGCGCTCTGTCTGCTCAGGCCCTGCTGCAGTGGGCTGGTGAGCAGGAGGCTATGCACACAGCCCCATCCCATCACTGGAGAGCCAGTTGGGGTCCTCACCGTCAGTGAGGCTGTCACTCTGTGGGGTTTGCCAGGCTCCAGACCCTGTTCCTTTTCTCTTTCTGGGCACGGTGGCTTCGTTTTAGCGACAAGGATTATCTAGTCATTAGTGGTACCTGAGTTAGAGCTTCACGGTCCCACAGCCTGACTTCACTTAGGCACAGCTCACAGTCGTGCTTGGTCAGAACCCAGTTCTCTTACAATCAGAATTCTTTATTTTTAATAACTGAGCATAAATATGAAAGGATATTAATATAAACCCCCAAAGAAAGCTACTTTTAATTAGGATGTGCCTCTCAGAGAAGTAAAATGTAGGTACCTTTAGGTACCTCTGCCAACTCTTGGCTTGTCAGAGCTTGCTAACCTATTTTGCCATAATTAAGGCGATGGTCTTGCTTTTCCCTGTGGTTCTCCTGTTCTTAGCTTGATGATGAAGTCTGCCTTCACCTCCCTTAACCCTATAATATCTTTTAGAGCAGATAGGCTATCCTGTGCTTCTCAGAGTTTTATGAACCACTTGGTGTCTTGTTAAAATATAGATCCTGCTTCAGTAGGTGGAGTCTTAGGTCCTACACTTCTAACCAGTGCTGCTCATCTGGGGAACCATATCTTGAGTAGCAGGGGGCTATGGTATCTTAGGAATGGTCTCAAACATTGTTGTGCAAAGCGTCACCCAGGAAGCTGGCTTAAAATTCAGATTCCTGGACCCTGTCCCCAGGAATTATGACCCACTAAGCCTTAGGTAGAGCCCAGATAATCCTGATTCCGGTGGTCTGTCAGCTGAGCTGTGAGAAGAAATGCCTCATGAGCACTGCTTTCTCTTCCTTCCTCCCCTAACCGCCCCACGTTAGCTCTGTGACCACAGTCAGGTCACCTCTCTGAGCCTCCTTTTTCTTATATGGAAAATGAGATAATAGTACTCTGCAATCCCCGTTGTGAAGATTAGAGCAGATCCAAAATGCCTCGCACAGGCTTTGGCCCTGTAAGCACCCAGTCAATGGAAGTTGCTACTATTCTCTTCCACCTTCCTTCTCTTTCCATCTTCTCTTGCTGCCTTTTGGACTTGTCTGTCTTCCTTCAAGCTACAGTGATTGTTTAATGAATACCTTTTTTTTTCTTTAATACAAAAACAGACGGATTTTAATGTTGCTATTAATCCCTCTCTCCCCAAGAGTCCGTGGCACTGAGTCTCAGCTGTCTGTGATTGTTACCTGTGAGCTGTGAGTTGTAATGTGTCTTGGCAGGTTAATTAAAAGTTTGGGTCTTGTTTTAGTGAACTCATTATGGTCCTTATATACAACTGTAACTCTCAGGTTTGCTTAACATATGGATTGGAATATGACCTTCCCTTTGTTACATGTTGAAATGCAGATCTAGAATTTAAGAAGATCTGAAATGTCAGAATCCAGAGTATTTATGTCTGTTTGTAATTAAGTAGCAGGAGAAATAATTGCATTTAATTTAACAAATGGCTGTATTGTGTACATTTGTGCTTTTCCCTCCATTTAATGCAATCCAGCTGATGATTTTAAATTAAATGAGTTTATCTTCTGCCTTGAAAAAATCTAAAAGCACTTTAATAACTGTATACATAAATATATACACACAGAAACCTGATGTTGACTGAGCTCCCTCTGAACTGGATACATTTACATTTACAGACACACACACACACCACTGAAACCGAGCAAGTTTTAGAATAAAACAGGGCAGCTGTTTTCAGAAAGAACAGTTTTTCCCTCCCATGTGGAGATCCAGAATTTGAAGGTAGTGTTGTTTCTGGTCCTGGCTCCCCTAGGGGCCTTGCTGACCCCAAGTATTGAATGACATAGGTGGGTATATACCAGTATCTAAAATATAATTCAGTGGTGCAGTTTACAAAGGGCATTAAATATATTCTTTAAGCCTCTAGATAACTCAGTGAGGTGATTATTCTTATTTTTACGATCACCCCCTATTGCAGAGGAGGAAATTAAGGTTCAGGGATAGCAAGAGAAAAGCTGAGGCTGGAATTTATATCTGACTGACTCCAAAGCTTGGGCTCTTCCTTCTTTAGCAATTTGCCTTCTTCCCAGGATCAGGTTTCTGCTTGGAGTATGACACTTTTCTTTCCCACCTATTCTTTCATTCAACACATAGAGCGCGCCTACTGTGTGTTAGGGACCACGCTTGGCCCTTTGCTGCGTGTGATTTAATCCTCACAAGAACCTTAGACACTACGTATGTTGATCTCAACTTTACAGATGAAGAAATTGAGGCTCGGAGAGTTTAATTGGCTTGCCGAAAGTCACGTAGTTATTAGTATGGGCGGGGCTAGGATGGCAACTTGCTCTCCAAATCCTACGCTCTCCCCACTCTGCCCCACAGTAGCTTACTATTTGCTATGACACTATTAAATATTTTATTTCCATCTGTATTATATGGAATTTAATTTCCCTTTTATTAACTTGCTTCCAATATAACTAAGCATCTTACGTTAACCCAGGAAGTTTCCTTGCAAAGTCATTAAAAAGACCATAGGAGGAAAAAAAAAAACCTCACAGCATCCAAAACTTTAAAAATAAAAATATCTTCATATGCATTGCTTGCAACCCCAAGACCTGACAAGTCCGTGTTGCAATGTTTTGGGTCTCCAGAGAGCATTTTATCTTTTAGTTTTGGTTGATGCCGAAGCATAAAGGGACAGATCAAGCTGACGTTGTGGCCATGGTGAGCCAAGCTGGAAAATAACAGAGATGCCCCACAGTGGATTTAGAAACACAGAGAAAAGAAATGAGAATCATTGTTAGAAAACATAGACCCAGCCGTTTTTATGAGAAACATGCCCTGGTCTTCCTCGTCTAGGACATCAGTACTAATTAAAGAAAAGAATCCTTTTGTTCATGCCCAGGCAGCTGGCTGCTGTAAATGGACCCATGTCCAGGGACTGGAAGCAGATTTCGTCCCTCTCTCCCCCCTTCCCTTCTTCCTTCCTTTCTCCAACAAATAGTGCATTCCTGCCTTTTCCCCAGTTGGAGATACAGAGACAGTAGGACATGGTTTCTGGCAAAAGTAGCTTGTGGTCTGATGAAGCATGGGCACAGGAAGTGTTGCTAATCCAGGGGAAGGAGAAAGAAAGGTCACTTCTGGAGTCACTGGTCAAAGTGCCACGGGGGTTGGAGGAAGGCAAGGGCCTGTCCAGCTCGATGGGTCAGGGAGGCACTCTGGATGAAGCAACATTTGATGGGATCCTAAAGGATGGATGGAATTTCCACATTGGGGGGGGGGTGGGGAGGCAATTGATGAGTTCATTCCAGGTAGTAGGAACAGCATGAGCAAAAAAGAGGTATGCAAAAACTGAAAGCTGGCTATAAGGAGCCAGAAGTTCTGTTTGACCAGAACGCAGGATGCCCTGGGAGGGTGGAGGGAGTTGTCAGGGACA